CTTTCTGTATTATATCTATAGTTCATTTACTATATCTAAAGTGCTAAGTATAAGATATTCAGGTGGCATTAGACATTTGTTAGACTCTTGATAGGTGTAAATAGAGGGATATTAGACTTTAAAGGATGTAATTTGAGAGGTCAGAATTATCAATGTGTTAACATAATAGTGCAATAAAATATTTTTCTGAGGATCTATGGAGTTACAACTATAAAAAGTTGTGATGTGCCTGTACTTGGCTTTGAAATATTCTGTTTGTTGTTCTTTCTGTTTATCAAATAAACTTTGTTTATTCTTGACACTTTGACTTCAGTATTGAAGGTAAGCATGAAGTAACCATTTTAGGAGGCTTGAACGAGTTTTGTGTGAAGTTCTACGGACCTAAAGGAAGTAAGTAATATTCATTATGTTTTAATTATTTTGTAGTATAATTTAATTTATTTACAGTTACCTTACCCTTCCAAGTTATTACAGTACAGAAATTTATACTTGAAACATGTTTTCTTCCAACAGCAATTGAAAGGAAACATTGTTATTAACATTTACAAAATGAGCAAAATAATAATGCTTGAGCAAATCAATGTAACTATGTATCTTATATTAGCTATGTTTATTGGTCACTTTTTGTTTTGTTAATTCCACAGATAACTTGGTTAACAAATAACAGACTTATTGGATTATTTTCAAATTGACTGAGGACTCTCAAACTTATAGAGAAATAAAAGTTGAGGATTTGTTGGAGGGATGAAAATAGCTTAAATGATATTCACTGAGTCGTAAAATGCATTGTAGCTTTTAAATCCAATAAAACATAGCATTTTACCTTATCCTGTGTAGAAAAACTAAAAAGAATAACTGTGACAGTTTTGCATCAACATTACATCTAGTCCATTTACATAATGTAATCACTTTGAGCAAAAGCCTGTATCATGTAATTTCTTAGTGTTGAAACTAAATAGTAAACTGAAACTTGGTCCACTACAGATTTGATAAGCTTGTTGTAATTTTTAGCCTTGGCATAGTGGCTCATAGAATGGGTCTGAGGTTTTCATGTACATGACATAGCTTATAGCTCTGTCATCTCTTGACCAATATGAGATCTAATTGCAGATTTGGACTCGGGAAGTCATATCTTTTCGATTGATGTATTTGACCATGCCTAAGGTCTCGTAGATTAATTTCTCTATTCTTGCTTAAAAGAATTTCAAGTGCTGTGGCTATTGGGGATTCCTTCTTGTTTCCTAGTTAGTTTTATAATGATCCTTACTAGTCCCTAGTCTGTTAGAAGTTGCAGCAAGTTCTTAGTCATTGTAACATTGTACATCATAAAACAGTATTATACAAAATCTACTAGTCAGACATTTTAAATATAATTGTATTAAGTTATGATAAAAAATTTATATCAGAAAAAAACCCAGTATCCTTTAAGTTATTATGTGTCAATAATTTACATAAATAATTTGAAGTACCACTGCATGATAATGTGTGTGTGTGTGTATGTAAATATCTGTAAATTAATAATGTATTTTATTGAATTGAATATTGATGTAACTAAAAATTAACACTGTACAAAACAAAAGATTAATCAGAATTGGTGATGTTGAAGCTATAGCAGGGCAATACCGTTTCCGAAATCATGTTATTCATCAACATCAGTTATTTTTTATGCAAAACTGGTTCTTTATGACCAATTGTGTGATATGAAGTACAGATGGTTAGTCATTAAGACTATGTTGTTTGTGGGCTGAGTAATTGTTCTTCGTGGGGGCACCCAACTTATGAAACAGGCACTCTAATTCTGAAAATGTTGGTTTTCTTCTTACTGACTTATAACATTATGTACGTTTTGTCAGTTTATGTAGAATTAGTTTCATTCATCCACAAATTATTTTTTAGTTATTTTCCATATAGAGTTAACTTATTTTCGATAAATATTTAGTGGCTTGAAATGATCTTATCTCTTGTCACTTTAAAGTTAATCACAATTACAGTTGTTTTTATTAAAACTCCGAGATGACATTTTAATGTTTCACTCAAATGGAGAAATTATTGGGTGAATGGAAGCTGACGAATCATAGCTGGCTATTGTGAATTGGCTACAAGTCTCAAAGTGTCATTAATAAATTGTAAAACTGCTTCCAAACCAATAGTACAGTTGTTGAAACACCTAAAAAAAGGCAAACTATCACCCAGAACTTTGGCTCACCATAATTTTGAAGTTCCTACTCCAGAACTGAATTATTCCATATTAGTGTGTAGACAGGTAGAAACACTTCATAAGGCTATCTTGTGTGGTAGACACCCTCTGAAGTTCATTCCTCTTGTTGTAAGGCACAAAAAAAATGATCTTTATGCTATGGTACCATAAGCATGTTCAATGGAGCAATACATTCTTTTTTTCAGATGAATCACTTAATCTTGCATCTAGATAGTAAGCATGTATTCACTTGAAAAGAGTGAGGAACCAGATCCAACTTCATTTTCAGGCACTTACATAATGTTTATAGTGGTAGTGAAAGTGTAATGTGAGAAGCAGTTAGATTTGATGGATGTATCTACCTCTACACCCAATGGACCATAGCCTTCAACCCTTTCTGTTACTATATGCTAGTGCAGTTGGCTTTGAATACTAATGGATGATAATATCCACCCTATTTCTTGCCAGACCAGTTGCCATACTTTTAAAAAGAGGGGATTGACTAATTGTATTTCATTCCCATCAAGCATGTATGTGATGTTTTTGGAAGACACTTGCACCCCATCATATGGTTTCAGACATAAGTGATGCTTTGAAAATGGCTTTCTCAGAAGCATGGTCAAGAATATCTCTGAACCTGATCAACATTTAGTAAACGCACTACATCATTGCCAGGCTGCCCTTGTTATTCATGGTGGTCCTACTCCATATTGATGTGAAATGTCATGAACTGTAAAGGTATAAACCTGTTCTATCAAATATTGATTTATGAGCACAAGCTTAATGACTAATCATTGCACTTAAGGTTGTATTGATCATCAGAATAGAGATTTGCATAAAAAATTAATTGGAGGGAATTATTCTTTTAGAATGAGTGTTTACCCTACAAGTTGACATTTGAGATTGTTCTTCAGATTTGCTGATTATTTCAAAAAATAAGAATTAGTTTAGAAAACTAGCTGAACATCAATTGAGACATTTATTTATTCATTGATATTATTTCCTTTCTTATAATCAATAAAATCAAGTTACTGTGTATGTGAAAAACCTATGTCATTAAACCACTACAAGTCCCCTGGTAAGCCTTAAGATTTTCAACTTTAAAATTAGGGGTTTGATTCCCCTCAGTGGAAACAGGAGATAGTCTGATATGGCTTTGCTATAACACAACACCCAAACCACTGCAAATTCCATCAGCAGTGCTTTACAGTTTTATTGCTCTTTGTTCCCTTAACTGATGTCCAATTATTTGATTAATCACAGTTTAACACTTGTTTTGACAAGCATAATGGTATAAACATGAAGCTAGTGTAACTCACGAATAAGCGTTTATGTTTTATAAAGTATGCATGGTCAGGAAGTGTAAGCTATTTGTTTTTCCATGAACAGTCAAGGTAGTGATGATTTTAATTACCAAAGACAACTGATCACACCTTGTGTCAGACTTCAGATACCTTTTTTATGTTATTAAAAACTTAATTAACAAACTGTTGATTTGGAATTGGCTCATAAAGAGTTAAACAAAAAACAGTTTTCATTCTTTTATTTCAGACTGAATTTAAAAATGTTTTTTTCATATACTCAAAAAGAAGAAAATATGCATTAACTATAATTAACATATATTTTATATAGTATTTATAAATGTTTAATTTGATTAATGGAATGGATATAATTACATTATTTGTCTTCTGTAAAAAAAAGAGAAATGAATTTAAAAAATTAACACACTTGTATTCTTCGTACAAAAATTAACTGTTTTGATGTATACTTTCTTTAGCTCTGGATTATTTTTTGGCTTTATGTTTGAATCAGTTGCCAAGTTTGACTATTAAATTTTTTACATAAAAACCTGTGGATATAAATTAAACATGGTCAGAGTGGTAGTAGTTGCTTTGCCATGCTATCAAAAATGTTAAAAATTCCAATTGTTTTGTGAAGTGTTTTTCTCTGAAATAAACATGTAGTATTTGAGTTTAATATTTATATTTCTTTTATAATGAACCTGTTCACTTTTGTGAGAGTATTTATTTAAAAAATAACTGTGTGAAAATAAGCTTTTAGTCCTTATATTTATCTTTTGTTTTCTAGCACCATATGAAGGAGGAGTTTGGAAAGTAAGGGTGGATCTTCCAGAAAAATATCCTTTCAAGTCTCCTTCAATAGGTAGGCTGTGCATGTAATTTGACAAAGTGACACACAAATCCAGGTTTGTAGAATGTACAATAATGTATCAATGTTTCTTTAGTGATAGTTTCATTATATTAAAAATAACACATTGTCATAATTATTTAACTGGCATAACCAGAGTTGGCTGGTATCAAGCTCAGATGACATTTCTGTTTCAGAAAGACTAAACTTATTACAACTTTTGGGGACTTGTTTATTTTTCACAACTACTTCATATACCCAATGGTGCATATTTGGTTTAAGATGCTGACATAGATCATTATTTATTACAAGTTGAAATGGGGATATGCAAGAACATTCCCATTTATTGGTCTGTAGGGTCATCCACATGCGATTTTTATTTCTATATTTTTAACTTGATTATAGTCTGAAGGATAACATTAACTGCATTGAGGAAAACTTAGTTTTATATTAACACTTTCAGCACAGGCCAGGTCCCTTGGACCGACGTCGTAACCATATTCATGCTATAACTTGTAAATTAGTAATCATATATTCATGAAATTTGGCAGATTGTCAGTAAATGCTACAATGCTTTCATATGCGAAATATCAATTTTTTTTATTAAGTCTTAAAGTTTGTTAAGCAATGTTTTTCTCATGCCTTTTTTCTTTTTCAATGTTGCCTATCCAACATGCAAAGTAATTTTCATTTTAAGATTAAAAATACTTTTATGCATCATAAAATTTTCAAATTTCACATGTGAAATCCTCGTAATGTCCAGATAGTTATCGAACATTTCTTAAGAAAAAACAATATTTTATCTGTTATTTTCACTAATGAATCTCTGTATGGATTTGGCCAATTTGACCGATCTTGTAACCACCATAAAAAATTAGGAAATATAAATTATGCCTTTTCTGTTCTAGAATGACTACAAACTATAACATGAGATGATAAATGTGTAGACTAAATAGCTCAAATGTCATAACATTATACATTTATATATATT